TGTCTGGGACACTGAAAAGTAAAGTGACTAGGCCAGGGTCACACAGCCAATATGGGTCAGAAGGATGGCTTGAACCCAGGCTCCTAGTTTCTGTGCACTATGTGTGTTATCACCCTGCCTTTCATGACCAAAAGTATGAGAAAACCAATATTTTTTACACATTTCTTGTGTTCAAGTCTCAGTTCCATCACTTTATGACCTGAGGTAAGTAATTTCACCTCTATGGTCTCAGTTTCCTCATCACAAATGAGGGAATTGGATGAAATTAATTAAGTTCCTTAACATTCTATGATTCTGGGTACATCAGGAGTACAGGTAAATGTCTGTATGGGGGAAGGGTAAAGACAGATGCTCAATTCATTGAATTACTGCCTAAGACCCCTCCAAAGTTTCCAGTGGTGAGGAGGTGCCTGGATAATAGAGTCCATTCCATCCTTTTTTCTGCTTTGCAAGAAACCTTCGCCTTCCCCAGTTTTCCAATGGGGCTGGGGACACAGTTGTCATGGAAATCTCTGTTCCATGGCCAGATGAGTAACTAGTTCTCCCTATCCAGAAAACATGGGATTTTTGGAGGGGGAAAACAGTAGTTTGAGTGGAGGGAAAAGAAATATTTTGAAAGGGCTATTCTTTTTAGGCAAGGGAAATCAGGATGCTGATGTGGAAGTGTGTCTCTTAACCTCCTAGAGTGCTGTGGATAATAACAGAGGTACTTCCTTTGTATAGCCTAGTCAATAGGCCTGCCAGTCCTTTGGGACTTCCCAAGCAGAAGACAAACATGCTTCCTGCCTTCATTCACGTGGGTATTTGATCAGCAGAGAGGAGCTGTTTGTTGGTTTGTGTTCAAGAGCTCTTAAATAAATCGCTGGGGAAAATGCCGCTCTTTGGCAAATGCAGTGCGTTGCAGGGAGGGCAGTGATTGCTTTATACAGGTGTCTGACAGCATTTGGTGAGAGGCTGTGTGACTGTGTTCTGGAATGAGAAGTGAGCCAGGAGGCAGCATACTGCAGGAGCAAGATGTTTGATAGGGGCTAGGTCACTCCTCCTTCCTGGTCTTTAGTCAGTAAACATTTATGAAATGCCTACTATGTGCCAGGCACTATGCTGAGTACTGGGGATACAAAGATAGTTCCTGCCCTCAAGTAGCTCATGGTCTAATGAGGGAGACAACATGCCAACAACTATGAACAAATTAGCTCTCTACAGAATAAATTCATTAACTGTAAAATGGATAGGTTGAACCAAATAGCCTCGAAGAACTCTTCCATTTCATGATTGGAGCTCTTTCATTTTCCTTTTCTTCTGCCCTCCCCCCAATTTCCCCTTACTCGAGTTACAATGGTCATTTCACTCCCAGATGTCCTAGTGAAAAGCATAAATTCAGATTTGGAAGAGGACTCAGGAGATTAACTTATCCATTATCCTTGTCTTCAAGAAGGTAAGATACATTATATAGATGAGGAAACAGGCCTAAAGGGGACATATATCAAATAGTTCTTTCCAGAACTGAAACCCAGGTTTTGTTCCTAAAATCCCAAAGGTTGATACTGATGGCCTCCATACACACTTGAAGCTGGGGAAAGAATTTGATGCTGTTGATAACATCTTGGCAACAAGTGTGACACTGATTACAGATATTTTTGGTGGAGTTGTGGGAAGGTGTTCATGCTGAGTCATGATTTGCTTCATAGACTCATAGAGTAATTCCTTTGATTCAATAAACATTGGCTAATTCAGTTTAGTCAGTGTTTATTAAGCCTGTAAGAGGCAGTGGGGTGCTTTGGAACCAGGAGGAACTGGGGTCCAGTCCTTCCTCTCACACATAATGATGTGGCAAGCTACTTCAACTTTCAGTGGCCCCATACCACTTTTCTAAACTGGAACTGTCAAACTCAAATAGAAAGAGATCCCTGCTTTTTGTGTTTTGTCTTAGAAAATCCCAAATTCACCTCATCTGTGGTGTATTTTAATTTATTGATTCAAGCTGTGGCTGGGGTGGGGGGGAAGAGTGTGAGTTGGACATCTCTGTAATGTAGACTAGAAGATGCAGAATAGTGGCTAATTAGCATTATTATAGGACACTTGACAGAAGTTGTCTAGACCTTTAAAGTTACTGGCTCTGGATCCAGCCACCATGCCACACACACAAGATGTCATTTAATGGCTTTCTGAAGAAAATAACCATGATTCCCTTTCTCCTTTAGTTTACAGCATCCTATATTTATATGTAGAGGATACCTTTAAGGTGCAAAGTTTGCTAATTTTACAAATGAGGAAACTGAGACTCAGAAAGGGGAAAGGACTCATCTGAGTTCATAGCTAATGAATGATGGAGCCAGACCTTCCACCTAAATCATAGGAGCACACATTCTAATGAAGAAAGACAAGCTGAGAAGGCCCCAGGTACCAACTTCATAGCCTTCTCACTGAGTCATAAAACTGATGTGCTCTTTTCAAATTGATTTGAAAAAGCAAAGCAGAGGGATCAACTATTCTTCACTTTTCCCTGACATTTGACTCTCTCTCACTCAGACATATAGGGCCATTAGATTGAAGAGTATTCCATCCGAGGAACTCCAGTGTGTAGGATTGTCCCAGAAGAGGTATGGAATAAATATTCTTTTGATTTAATAGGAAATGGAGTTCCAGGAGGTTTGCTTTTCTTAGTGTCTGGCCTGATCATTTTCATCCCACTTGGAGGGAAGATGCTTTCCACTGTGCTGACAATTAGCAAAAACACCTCATCTGCTCTCCTATTCCTGAAGTTGGTCAGTGTTTTTGTTATCACCTAATCCCCCTCCTCCTTCATTCAGCTTTTTGGATTGTACTGTGACTGCTATACTTTATTAAAGACTCAGGCCAGATGTGAGTTATTGTTTATGGAGTTATACTAATACTATGCATCCTCTGGGGAGAATAGTCAGTAGCCTGACCTTTTATCAATCTTCGTTCTCCTTAATCATTCTGCAGAAATTGATGCCTTTGACCACCCCCTCCTTTTTGAGAATCAACACTGGCTTCCATGGTGACCCTCCACTGGCTCTTCAACCAGTATGAGTTCTAATTCTCAGTCTTTGCTGGTTCATCTTCCTCTTCTTGATCCCTAAGTGTGGGTAATCCCCAAAGCTCTGTCCTTACAATGCAGATTTTCTTCCTCTTTATACTCTCTCTCCTGCTCAGCCACTCCTGTGGCTTCACTTATTATTTCTATGCAGATAATGTCCAAATCTGAATACAATGTACTGACCCTTGATGTCTACTCTCCTGTTTCCCATCATTTGCCTCAAACTTAAACTAAGCATGTGAAAAACTGAAACCATTGCCTTCCCCAAAACCTAACCCTCCTCCCAACTTCCTTGTTTGCATTCATGGTACCATTATCCCCTCTTAGTAACCCAAACTACAAACCTCAGATATCTTTGACTCTTCCCTCTAACACACTCACCGTGTCAGTCAATTTCCAGGGCTCACCTTGGTAATGTCTCATATCTGTCTCCTTCTTTCTGTTTATAATGCCACCAACTAGCTCAGGAAGTAATTAACTCTCACTTAAACCACCCAGATAGCCTCCTGACTGATCTCCCAGACCCCAAGCTCTTTCTCTAATATGTCCTTTACAGAACCACCTACATAATCTTCGTAAAGCACAAGGCTGACCACAGTCACTAACTTGCTCAAAAATATTCAGTGGCTCCCCACTGGCCTATAAGAAAAGAAAAAAAACCCTCCTCAGCCTGGCATTTAAATCTCTCCATTCTCTGGCTCTGTCCTAACTCTCCAGCCTTATTTCATTCCACTCTCATTTAAGCATTGTACATTGAAGTCAAAGTAGCTTACCAGCCATTGTTTGATTTTATCCTTCCTCCTCTGGCTACATACATTCACAAGTCTGTTCTCCAATCCTAGAATGCCCTTCATTCACATCTTTGTGGGTCTGAAATCCTCTTCTTTCAAACCCCAGCTTAGGTACTACCTCTTCACTGAAGCCTGGTCCCAGCTGAAAACCCTTAATCCTTTCCCAAACTTCTTACTGCCCACTGTCTGGACTTCTTGTTTGTCATAGTTATCTTTGTATCATATGATTTGTACTTGCCTCACTGCTTCCTTCCCACCCCCATTTCAGAATGTAGGCTTCTAGAGGGCATGGTCCCTTACCTTTGTTTCCCCAGTGCTTAATACAATGTCTTATACCTTTATTGTTGTTCAGTCATTTCAGTCCTGTCTGACTCTTTGTGGCCCCATTTTGGGTTTTCATGGCAAAGATACTGCAGTCATTTGTCATTTCCTTCTCCAGCTCACTTTACAGATAGGAAACTGAGGCAAACAGGGTAAAGTGATTTGTCCAGAGTCACACAGCTCATTAAGTGTCTTTGCCAAGAAAACCCCAAATGGAGCTGATTGTTCAATTTTTATGAAACTTCTAATTTGTCCACTGCCTGATTTCTGCCCAATTTTTGCCATGCCCTCTTCCTGTTGTATTATTTGAAGCAGAAGTTGCTTCCTTGGGATCATAGATATGGAGCCATAAGGGGCTTAAATGGTGAATGGAGCATTCGTGGGTTCAACCATTCATCCAGAATTACACATGGACACACATAGTATTAAGAACATTTTGTTTGGAGGGGGCAGGGATTGGAGAGTATGTAAAAAGAACTTTCTTTGTCTTCTATTTCTGACCTAAGGAATTCAAACAAGTTGTCAGGAAAGCCTTCCAAAGCTCTGAAGCCAGATCTTTACTCTTTCTTTCTGGTTGGAATTTCCCTTGGGAGATGCACAGTTTGAGAATTTGATTGATGGCTGTGTTCCAAATGAACTATTTGTGGTTCACCCATTCCCAGGACCCCTTTCTGGAGTGATAATATTGAGGGTGCTTTGAAATGGTCCATTACAATCATGGTGGACATTAGTGGAACTATTTCTGAACAGCTGGATTGGATTATGTTCCCTGAAGGGAAAAGAATGATTTCATTCTCATGATAAATTTTCTTCTCTCCTTCTCCCAGACAGAATCATGAATAAACTGGAGGACAAGCAGGACCAGATGATACCATGAAGAGAAGTTTACAGGTCCTCTATTGCCAACTGTTTAGTAAGTAGAGTCTCTGTTTCCTCTTGCCTCTAATATGGCAGCATTATCATTGTCTGCTGAGCTCCAGCTGTGTATGCATCTCTAGATAGCATCTGCAAGAAAGCCTGGGATTGGTCAGAGAGATGGACACAGTGAATTATCCCTCTGTTCATTGATCTGTATGTTGAATAGAATCCTGATTTTCTATTACCTGAATATGAACCACTGTTCAATGTTAACTAATTGTCATATGAGTTATGAATGATATAGTTCCTTCAGAGAATTAGATGTTGAAAGGGCAAATGTTTCTGTGTTACTGGGTAGAATAGAAAGGTCTTCCATTCCAGCAAAGTTACATGCACTCTTTGGTTGGTAGGAGTCAAGATTGGGAATATGCCACTAAATGACTGTTGCCTTTACAGGTGTTTGAGCTCACATTTGAGTGGGAAAGTACAGCATCTAGCAGACTGGTGGTTATGAGACTATTCCTCAATAGCCCAGTCTTTCTACCCATTTACTCTTTCTCCATGATATTTTGCTGACCTTGCTCTATACAGAAGCTTTGTGTTCGTGGCCTTTTCACTAAGATTCTATTTTCTTGCCTAGTCCACTGTCACTCCTGGACCTTTCACCTTTGTGAATTTCAGACTTTTGATCTCAGGGCTGCTATTTTATTAGATGTCTGTAGCTGGACATAATGCTTGGACTGCTGCCCTACCTCCTAAGCTGATCATTTTCCTCCCACCCTGTTAATCACTCTGATGGATAGAAGCAACTGTAGTGGCACTGGATTTGTTATTCATGAATTCTTTCTTTTTTGTTGTGATTGGCAAATTGAAACTGTTTTAGCCCTAGCTTTGCTCTCTCAAAGTGCCATTGGATATTAGAGCTTAAGGGAAATATACATCTTGACCCTTCTAGAAACATTCTTGCTGAAGTCAATGGAAGTTCTGTCAATATTCCAGGGCTGGTTGTCTGGCTTCTGTTAACATGTGCTAAATTTGCTTTACATTTTTTTTTTGAGAAAATAAAAAGAGTTTGGAATGCAACCCACAAATCAGCCTTTTGAGTTGAGTAATTCAGGTCAGATTATAGCCTCCATATGAAGCATAACATCTCTGAATAACATATTGGCTGAATTTTTAATTGACTCATTTCTGCCACTGAATTTTAATCTCTCTAACACCATTCATGTTAGCCCATTTGAATCACAGTGGATGGGAGCCAGTTATGTGTGAGTCTTTCCTATTCCATCTCTGGGCACCATTCTGGGTTATAGTGACATTCTGGTGGGGGTGGGGGTGGCGCCTCGATTTAATTGCTCGGAGAACTCATTCTACCAATGCAGATCAATAAGGGTTGTTTTGGTGCTGGGGATATAGTGGCAAAAAAGTAATAAACCCTGCCTACAAAGAGTTTACAGCCTACTAAGGGGAGATAACATATACAAATATAGGTACATTCAAAATAGGTATAAGATAATTTTGACTAGAAAACAAGCACAGCTCAAGATGAACCTTGAAGGAAACTAAGGATTCTAGGGGTTAGCAACTGTTGGTAATTTAGAAGTTTAGAGTGTTGCCTGGGGGCACTGGGCACTTGAGCGATCCATGATCAGGTCTTCCTGATTTTGAGACTAGTTCTGCCTCCACTATTCCATGCTCTCTCTCCCGTAGTGAATTCCCAATGCTTGTATAATAGAGGAAAGGTTTTAGCCCATGGAAGAAACCTCATTAACCATAATGTCATCTCCTTTACTGACCAGGTATCTGAAAGTGTATGAATATTCACTAGGTTACACATTACTCTGTGGGTATCAATGGGACTAATAACTCCTATTTATAGAATTTTAGGTTCACAAAGCACTTTCCTCACAACGATCATGTGAACAAAGTACAAGTATTATGTACCGATTTCATAGATGAGGACTGAGGCTTAGAGACCTGAAGTCATTTGTCCACTGGGCAGGGTAGAGCCTAAAATTCTGATTTAAAATGGAGACTAGACAGTGTGGTCTAGAGTGAGGCATCAGATATGTGGCCACAGCATCTACCTGCAAAGGAACCATATTAAAATGCAATTACGAAATGTTTAACAAAATAAATAAAGATACCATACAACATAGATAATATTGACTTGTGGTTTTCTAGGCCAACATGTAGCCCTGGATGGGCTCCTTTCTATTTGAGTTGGACATTACTGATGTAGAGGAAAGCATTACTAGATTAGTCACCTAGACGACCTGCTTCTAATCTTGCCCTTGCCACTTCATAGATATGGGATGCCAGTCAGGGCTTTAGGCTAGCCCATGAGGTATGCTGGACTAGATGGTCCATAGCCTCACAGATCTAGAGCTGGAAGAAATCTTAGAGATCACTTAGTCCAAACCCCTCGTTTTTTAAAAATTGAAATTGTTTTTATCAACAAAAGTTGATGTTTTCCTTTCTCTGCTCCTCTCCATTGAAAAAAGAAAAACAAAATCCTTGTAACAAATATACATAGTTAAGCAAAGCGAACAACCACATTGGCCATCTCCAAGAAAGTCTATGCCTCCTTCTGCATCTTGTCTTTATCACCTCTGTCAGGAGATGCAAGCTCTTCATTTTATAGACCAAGAAACTGATGCCCAGGGAGAGAAATGAGAGGCCCAATGTCACATAGGTAGTAAGAATCCAAGGTGAGATTTGAAATCAAGTCCTCTAATTCAGAGCCATCGGTCTTTCCTAAGCAGCAAATGGAGCATGACACTGCCTGCAGCACCTGTTGGCTCTAGGATCCAGGGACTAGTTTGGAGTAGCTCTGTATGCCACTGCAGGAATCGTCACATGAGCCAAGCAGTGTAGAATCAGTTTGCTGTTCCATCTGTTTATTTTGCCACTCATATTCTGTCCTATATCACAAAACCCCTCATTTATAAAGTTGGCTAATCAAAACAGAGCACATGGGAAAGATAAGAGACATCTCCATGGAGACTGTCATGGGAGTTGTGGAATGGAATTGCATTTGAGCCATTCCCAGGCAGAGTTTGCACTGGCAATTCGGAATGATCCAATGAAGACCCTGTCCTTCTACTGAGCAGACAGGGATATTCATCGCAGCCACTCTAATTAACCGTTAGTCTGGTTCTCAGCCTTTCGAACTGTCAAGTCTGCATTCTGATATCTGTCTTCATCTTTCTGTTTATCATCTCTCCCACCACCCAACCTGGGGCCCTCACCCTATGCCATCTGTATTCTCGCAATAGCCTCTGCTGCATAAACATTAGCTATTATTATTATTATTATTAACCAATCTTCTCCTAGCCTTTCCTAGACAATCCATCCTCTATGATGCTGTCAAAATAATCTTCTGAAATCACAGCTGTGATTATCACCATCTGGCTCAAAAATGGTGATTTTTAAAACATTTTCCCGCAATGAATAAAGTCTAAATTCCTTTTTCTGTTATTCAAGGCCTTTTGTGGCATACTACTCACGTTCCTGATGACCTGTGTTTGTTATATGGTAATGGAAAATGAAAATTTCTTGTGAAAATTCAAGAATCATAGACTCTTAGAGATTATCTGATTCGTGTGCCTTCCAAAGCATGAATCCCCTCTGACCTTGTCATTGACAAGTAGTCATCCAGCCTGTGTTAAAAGAGCTAAATGATGAAGAAGAAAAGTGGGTGAGGGGTGCTGAATGATCAACTCACTTGTGGCAAGTAAGGGAAGATCTACCTGTTTCAAATTTATATTTAGCTTTTGTTTGGAATTGGAAAACCAGATGTAAATAAAATAGGTGAAAGCTAAGACAGAGAAGAGAAAGAAAGATAAGATCTCTCTTATGGAGAAGACATGTTACATGTATGTATTTTCGGAGATGTAATGTTATCTCAGTACTATTTCTGAAGCCCGAATCATCTCAACCAATCACCAGTGACAATGTCAGGAGAAAGCTATTCATTTTCGGGCAAAACTCCTCTCCTGGCAACAGTGGCTCTTCACCATGCCGACTGCAGCATCAGCCATAGCCCCCAACATGGAGTTAGCATAGGACAGTCATTTCAGTTGTAAACCCCAAATGCCCTTCTTGCAAAATCTACCATGTGAATGCATTAAGAATGAATATTTGCTGTCTGAATATTTGCCTTTCATTGAGGAAAAAATAATCCAGCAAAAACAATTTTAAGAAACTGAGAATTCTTTATGTCAGCATCAAACTAAAATAAGATCTTATTTATGTATATCTGTCATTAAAGGATGCTATTTAAGATGCATCCTTATGTTTAAAAATAAATTATTAAACATAAGAGTCTTAGGATCATAGATTTGGAGATGTAAATGAACTTTTGACATCATCTAGCCAATTTTATAAATGAAGAAACTGAGGCCCACAGAGTCTAAATGATTTGTCCAAGGTTGGACAGGGTAGTAAATGTCAGAAGTGGGGTTTGAATTGGGATCCTCTTTCCACTGATCCATTTAAAAGATGAAAGTACTATAAGTCACTTGGCTGGATGGGCAAAACCTTTGGATTTGTTAACATGTGGTATTTATGAGCTTCAATTAAGACAAAACATATGTCCACAATTTTGTATTATTTGTTCCAAGCACATATTTATGTATGGAGTTAGATGTATTTGCACAGAGAGATGTGGAAATGACCTTCTCTCATGAGGTTCTGAGAACACCCTCTTCTTGTATGGACAGCCTCTCTTTGTCTCCAGGGCAAGTTGTCATTTAAATCCTACATCCTATGCTGAGATCCATGCACTGAATGTAAGGTGATATATGTATGTACTGTAATTGAAATTTCATGTTGGAATGAGATCCCAGGATAAAAGAAAATAACAGAGAAGTTGTCAAGAAAAATCTGCAGGCTCCAGGCTGTGGTCTATTTGGTGGGATTTTGTCTTGAAAAAGGATAGTGAGCCATGAGTTCTACAGTAGAAACTATTTTTTGCCATTCAGGGGGATCAAATGAGTTATTAGGTAGAGTGCTTTGCAAACCTGAAAGTGATATATAAATGTTAGTTGTTAT